CTTGTCGGCTCACTATGGATGCCCCAATTTGAACCAACCCAAGCCTAAAATCTAACCGTTATCATCAAAATTCATCTCTGATTTTTATCTCAAACTACTAGAATTACGAGATATTATAAGAATTTTATGAGAAAATAGAGAGTAACAATGTTTGCTAGAATGAAATAGAGATATTTATAGATACTAGTCAACATTGAATGTACGTTGCACGTTATAATGAAATACTTTATAAGTGTTCTAAAAGTAAAATTTGAATATGTGTGAATGTTAATTAATTTAGAATTAACACCATGAAATATATACATGATAATGAATGTTAAATCATTTATTTAATTTTTAATTAAGTAAAATTGGATGTTAATTAAAATACATAGACGTGAATAATGAAATGAATTCTTGAATTTGAAATTCTAATTAACTTATAATTATAATTAATAACATTGAAATGCAGAAGTCAAGATGAATATTAATTAAATGAACGTGAATGTTAATTAATTGAGAATTAATAATAGGAAATTCATACATTAATGAAAGCACACAAGTAAAACGAATATGTCCAATGTACATGTACATTAATGTAACTAATATTGAAAAACGAAAAAGTAAGATATTATTGAAATAATTGAAGTAGAGTTAAAATCGTTCAAAAAATTATTCTCACTTGATGTGATATTTAATATATTATAAATATTTTTTAAAGAAAATTAAGAAAAGAGAATGAAATGACTATTTTTGCTAGTAAGATTTTGTTTTTTTTTGAATGAAATGAAGATTTAGGAGTAATATTTATAGACATGTTCCGGAAAAAAATAAGCACTTTCGGCTCATTTACGGGCTTGGTTGTTGATAGGTCAGAATCCCCTAGACTTGATTCACACCTCTACTCTAACTCAAGCAATTTCATTACTGCGTAAAAAAGAATTAAAAACTAAAATCATGTTTGAATTTTCTTGGAGCATTGTAGTTCGAGTTCTAGTATGAGTACAGGAAATACTCACAGAAGTCACACAGAAATTTGAATTGAAGGGAAGAGATTCAATCAAGTGAGGAGGGAAAACACAGATGGAGGGACAAGATTCAAAAATTTCAAATTTCTAAAAAAAATCTGTCAATAATTTATTTACTATAAATTTTTCTTGTAGTTTCCCCAGGACAAGAAAGTCCAACAAAATTTTCTACTGTGAAGGACGTGCAATTTGTCTTTTTGTTCAAAGTCTTCTGTCAATCCACTCATTCAGACAAGAGATTCATTGTATATTATTGTGTCTTTATCTTTGATAGTGCCGAAAGCGGGGAATCTTTGAAAATGAAAAGCGGCAGTCAATATTTGACAATTTAATTTATACATTGTTTTTCCATTCCTCAATCTTATAAATATCCTGCACAGAACAAAGATACAATCATCTACAGACTCAGAAATTTAAGGGAAAATATGGGCACAGTTGCTCGAGATTCCACAGAAATATTCCCTAAAGACAGTAGCGAAAATGGTGTCTTGGCCGATCCCAATAAGCTTGATGCTGGTGCTCTCTTTGTCCTTAAATCCGAAGGTGATCAGCAAGTATATATATAACTTTTTGGAACTTAGTTGTAGTCTGGTTTGTGTAAGAATTTAGTTCATCGATCGTTTACTTCACTATATACGCGTGAGAATTTTTCATTGTAAGAATCGTGGTTTCATAAAGCGGAATTTACTGTTTTGCTGTTCATATAATTAAAAATTGAGATGAAGTTGACTTTTTGTTTGTACGTGGGGTTGATATGCAGGCTCGTGGTTGCACTGTGGGTATCATTTAACTACGGCAATAGTAGCACCTGCACTTCTAAGCTTGCCCTTTGCTTTCACCTTGTTGGGTTGGAGTGGTGGAGTTTTGTGTATCACTGCGGCTGCACTTGTGACTTTCTATTCATACTCTCTTTTGTCTATAGTTTTGGAGCACTATGCCCAGCTCGGAAAGCGCCACCTTCGTTTCCGAGACATGGCTCATGATATTTTAGGTATTAAGGTCTTGTTTGTTTCGGATTAAAATCAGATTCTTTTCAACCACACATTTCAAAAACTTTTATCACAATCTACTAACAATCTAATTTTAATCAACACCAAAAACCTACTAAGTCACGGAGACTAGTAAATACTGTAATGCTCATTCCGTGCTTTTTACGCCGTGTTAATAATAAATAATACTATCGTAGGGCCGGGTTGGGGCCGTTACTTTGTGGGCCCACTTCAATTGGGAATATGCTACGGAGCAGTGATTGCTTGCACGCTTCTTGGTGGACAAAGTCTCAAGGTCAGATTATTCTGATTCCTTAATCCCAATATAAAATTAATAATTCCAAACTGATTTTTAACTTGAATAGAATGGTCACTGTTGTGTTTGCAGTATATTTATTTGGTATCAAGACCAAATGGGAGTATGGAACTTTACCAGTTTATTATAATGTTTGGAGGGCTAACCTTAATCATGGCACAAATGCCATCTTTTCACTCTTTAAGGCACATCAACCTTGTCTCCTTATTTCTTTGCCTTACTTACTGTGCTTGCACCACAGCAGGTGCAATATACATAGGTAAACTTTTCAATCTCACGTTGTTTACTAAACCAAGCATGCATTCTTCCTTAGCTGTTATTCGTAACAACTCGATAATTTTTTGTAGGTTATTCTAGAAATGCGCCTTCGAGGGATTACACCATTACGGGAGTTGGAGTAGACCGTGCTTTTGGTGTCTTCATTGCCATTTCAATTATAGCAACTACTTATGGCAATGGAATTATTCCTGAAATACAGGTTTTGGTTGTTGAATAATCTTGTCTAAAAGTTTTATCTGTTAAAAATTATTTTTTTTATAATTTAACACACACTCTTCGAGTGAATCGAATTCAATTCACCAAAGGTTTAACACATACACAACTTACTTGAAAGACGAGATTACAATATATCATTTTCAGTCTTATATTTTTAATGTTTTTCGTAAAATATATGCCTTAAACTTCAACTTTCAGGCGTATTATTTAACGGTTGTGCTACATGTATATAATGGTTATATACACATAACATAATAAGATATGATCATGTCAGAATTTCTTCAAAAAAAAAAAACTTTCACTCTCTCTTTGACACTTCTTCTACATGTAAACAGTTATGTACAAGTATCATTATTCATTATCTAATGATGGCTCATGTTGATCAAATGGAGCTAAATTCTTGAAATCCTTTGACATTTACAGGCCACTATAGCACCTCCAGTTACAGGGAAAATGTTCAAAGGGCTGTTGGTATGTTATTCTGTGGTGATTACTACATTCTTCAGCGTTGCAATATCTGGGTATTGGGCATTTGGAAATCAATCTCAGGGATCAATTCTTTCAAATTTCATGGCCAATGGGAAGCCATTGTTGCCCAAAGGGTTCCTTGTCATCACCTATCTCTCCACTCTCATCCAAGTATCAGCCGTCACTTTGGTAAGACATCATTACACATGATTTGTTAATTGAGATAGAAATGAAAAAACAAGTTAAAATTTTATATGTTGTATTGTTCAGTCAAATTTCAGAACTATACTTGCTAAAGTAGATGAAATGCAGGTGTATTTGCAACCTACAAATGTAGTTATAGAGCGGCAGTTTGCAGACCCAAATAAAGGTGAATTAGGACTGCGTAATGTGGTTCCACGGCTAATATTCCGGTCGCTGTCAGTGATCATCGCGACAACATTGGCAGCGATGTTACCGTTCTTCGGAGACATCATGGCATTGTTTGGGGCATTTGGTTGCATTCCTTTAGATTTTATTTTGCCTATGATATTCTATAATGTGACATTTAAGCCTTCGAAAAGGAGCTTCATTTTTTGGGGTAATTCGCTCATCGCTGCCGTCTCCACCGTGTTAGCAACAGTGGGGGCAGTTGCATCAGTGCGGCAGATAATTTTAGACGCGAAGACTTATAGGTTATTTGCTAATATGTAACTATGTATAAACTATTTCAAGATGTTGCAAATTTATATGAAAGAATTAGGTATATATATAATGTTGCAAACCCCATCTCTTTCTTCTCAACCTCATGGACGCAGTAATTTACTATATTATGATGTAATTTTAGATAAAATTACTGTGTAGTACTCAGAGTCTCCTTAATTGTTTTTCATTCATGTGAAAATATTTCGTAAGTCAATAGTCACACTGAAATGATAGAAAACTTATAAGTG